TGGTATTCGCGTTTTGCTACGGGTTTTGCTTGTTACTCTTGGTGGTTGCCACCACCTAGACGGCTTGGTGCAGCGGTGGAGGATCGGCATGAGTTGGTGATTGATCGTGGCCGTCTCCGGTGATTGTGAGGGGAGTTGTACCTTCCCCGGTGGAGTGTCGAAAGGTAACTTTAGTAAATTGCTCGTGTCATTGAGTTACCTCACTTGTGGGTAGGTTCTTGCGGTGTCCAATCGTGTGGACGAGGTTTGTGAAACACCTCTTAGCCGCCAAACCACCAAGTGTTGGTCGACACAACGGGGACTAGCGTGTTGGCAAGCACGTGAACCTCGGGAGAAAATCGGTTGTCTCTTGCCATTTGTATTCTTTCGGTGATTGGTTTAATGTTGATCTTGTGATTGGTTTATTCCTCTACACGACGGTATAATCACCCTACTCACTCATTTACATTCTTGCAAACTAGTTGTAGCAAGCTCTTTAGTTTAATTAGAATTAAGAGCTTGTTTTGTTGTTTCAAGTTCATCTAGTGGAGCTCTTTACTGTAGCTAGTGTGAGAGCTCTTAGTGAGTAGTAATATAGCAAATTGTGTGGTTAGTGATCATAGCAACTAGAATTGTTGGATAGGTGGCTTGCAACCCTTGTAGAGCTAGAGCAATTTTGTATTACGCTATTTGTTATACTAATCAAATTGCTCTAGTTGATTTGTAGATTTCTTAAAAAGGCTATTCACCCTCTCCTCTAACCATATTAGGACCTTTCAGCAGTCCAGCACCGTAGTAAAAACTAAAAGATGAAAGGTGATGAAATGGAACCGATTGCTCAACTCTTGCTTAAAAGTAGAACAGGTGCTTACATAGAATAGCTAGATAATAAATTAATCATGGCTGCTAATAATAACATACATAAGGACTCACTATTAGTATTGCTTTCTGCAAAAAGGAAACCAGCAAACCATAAAGCTTTACATATCCCTTAGAGTCGGGAAGTTATTCCCACTAGTCGGATAAGTCTTGCGAGTACATTGTGTACTCAGAGTTTATTTACCCCTGTTGCAGGTTGAACTTGAGGAGTACCCGTTGTGTGAAGGATTTTTCTGGTGGGCACAGACGGATCCTTGTTCATTATCGATAGATGTTTATTATCATTCCGCTGTTTAATATTCCGCACTCTGAATTTGTCAATGTAATAATGAATTTTTAAGAACTCTGGATGTATGAAATGGATTAAGTATTGTAACTCGTTCTCATTATTGCATCCTTGGGGAAAAATGTGGATCTTTCGGGCTCTCCCTTGGGGTGTGCCCGACGGAACCCGCCCGCTGTAGCTTGCTTTCGGGGTGCTTAGTGTCTAGTGGAAGACGAACGTCTTCGTAAGTGCGTTATTTCGGACGATTCTGCCACACAGATCGTGTTACCACATCCATTCTAGATTATAAGGGATATAAGTTTGTCCTAATTAAGTCAAAACACCCTAAGTTTGACAAAGTCTTCTAGAGAAGAGTAGTAGCATTTATGAAATCACAGAGGTAAATTCTTTTAAAAATATATCTAAATGATGTCTGATACCGTAAATAAAACTTCTACTATTTTTTTTATGAACGAACTGACACATATAGTGTTTGTTTATATTGATAAATTTAATCAAACTTAGATAGTTTGACATAGCATAACCCAAAATCTATTTGCATTTGGGGACGGAGTTTGCAGTGTATACATGTTCCTAATTAAGTGCTGGATTAGTTTGAGCATATGCATGGAACCTTATTTACTGAAAAATGAAAACAAAAAGCTAACTTATTGGAGCTGTTTCGAGCAATAGCTACGTTGGGCCATTCTGTGTGATATGATATATGCATGGCGAGTGTGGCGACTGGCGAGGTCACATGTGTGATCCACGCAAGGTTGTTTCAGATACCAATGCTTTCGAAAGCAATTCCGAATTGGCACGGCCCTAGCCCTGCTGATATATACACATGATCGGCTATATATATATTTTTCGATCTATTTATTACTATATATTAATATTAATAACTATGTATGCCTTGACATTCTTGTCTTGATGTAAATATCTAGCTAATAAAAGGGGCTCGTAGCACACGGCTGTTTCTGAATTTTCGCTGGCTCTGCTCCTGTTCGTTCCGCAGCGAAGTCAAAAAAGCCTATGCGCTTTTGGTGACAGAAGAGAAGACGGACAAGAGAGGGTACCGTGTTGGGCCACGAGATCCCCCTGGGGCCTGGGCCTTCTTAACCCGCTCGATCTCGCTGTCTCCCTGGACTTGTCCCGCCCGATTCGGTCCACACAATGCAATCTAGCAGTCACGCCCGGCCGACGGCCGCCGATATGATCCATCCGGCCTCCGGGGCCTCCACGGCACGCACGCAGATCGCGCAACTAACTGGGAGACCGCGAGCGGCGGCGGCCTTCCCGGCCGGCCGAGCGCCGGCCACGCGACGCCTGATGAACTCGACTGCAGCAGGCCTAGCGGGCAGCTAGCTAGTAAAAATGCTATTAGGTGACGAACAATGATAAGTAAGCTGGCCAGGAGCGTAAAAATGCAACGTCAGTTATAAATTATAAGTCGTTTTGATTTTTTGATTTATCTATTTTGCTATCTAGATGTAATAAAATCTTTGATACAATAAATTCTGAATGCCGACCAAACAGACCCTTATAATTTAGAACGGATGGAATATATTAGGTGACCGTATCATCCTGGATTGTATTTAGGGCCTACATGTGATGGGTGGATGTACGACTAATGTACGTACGTGAACGCACAGGCCACCAAACCAAACATTAGACAACCGAGTTCGTTTGTTGGATCATTGGATGCGTACTATTTTAGTCTTAAGGCAGGTACTTATATCCGGCAAAGAGCATCATCAGCCTGTTCGTTTCGGCTGAAATGTTCGTGGATTATTACCGCTGGCTGGTTTAATGTAAGAGAAAATATTGTTCTGACTTATAATCCACGGTCGTTTACGATCAAGCAAACATGCTCCATATATTTGGCACATACGTAATTGTGGTACCTAGCTAGCACGAGAGAGTGTACGTCTGTACGTTGCCTCTACTCTTTTGGCGTGATTACGTACCTGCATGTACATGCAGTACTCCCACTCCTACGAAATAAAAATAATATTATCTTTGTCTAAAAATAATATAAATCTACACATTTCCTATACTTCAGTCGTCTGAATTTTGTGTCTGTTGTTCAGGCGATGTTCTATGATAAATTTTACGATGTTCACGTAGTATACATATGATGTTCTATGATGTATTTTACGATGTTCACGTACATACGACAGTCGCCTGAATTTGTGTTTGCTGCTCAGGCGTAGTGTACATGTAATATTCTATGATATATTTTGTGATGTTCGCATAGTATACACGTGATGTTCTATGGCTGTCGACTGAAGAAAAGTCTATATTTCAGGCATCTGAAATATAGCAAATCCCATAATTCTAGTTATGGACAGAGTTAAACTTTCTTTGACTAAAAAACATTGTTAACATCTGGTATGACTCTAAATAAATATATTATAAAAATATGGTTCATGATTAATATAATATCTAATTATAATTGTTTAGTATCATAAATAATACTTGCTATTTTTTTTATAAATTTGGTCAAAGACACTTACTTTGGTAGAATAGATGACCTTGTATATAATTTAAATTTTTGTCTTCGTCTCAAAATAGATGACGACCTTATATATATAGGACTTAAATGTTGTCTCGGAATAATTGATCTTTTCATTTCCTAATGTATCTTTTTCTTCTCATAATATATATTTTTTACCAATACATCTCTCTCTCCCCCTTTTTTTTTTGTGCATCACACTTTTATACTACTATAACTTTTCATGTCCAAATCTAAAACATCATTTGAGAGAGGGAGGGCCGGGAGTACCAGCCTAGGCTAGAGCCTCCAAAAGATGCACCCTAAAACATCATTTGAGAGAGGGAGGGCCGGGAGTACCAGCCTAGGCTAGGCCTAGATGCAGGTCGTCCGTACTGACGAAAAGACTGAAGCTGCATCTTCTTCTTTTTTTGAACTCGACTGAAGCTTCATCTAGCTATGCATACCATTAATGGCCTGTCTTCAGCTCAGCAGTCATTCCATAATCCTGTCAATCGGGTGGCCCGTCTCGATCCCTCCCCTTTTTCAGCACTGCACCCTCCCGTCCCGTGACCACTGCACGGTCTGCATGCATGCATATCCATGGCAATGGCTCTTGGCCCGGTCCTCGACCACAAGTGTTTGTTACGTGCATCGTTTGCAGTTACGCGCGCGTTGAAGCCGGGTGCGTATACATCGCCGTCTCTCGCGCGTATAGACGCATCAGAGCACAGTACGCATATGCATGCAACGACTAATTGGAAAAGGCGATGTCCTTGTTTGGATCGAAAATTCTTAGGAATCCATTTCTTTGGAAAGGTTTCTAGAAATACTGTTTGGAATGAAAAAAACTTCAACGGTAAAACAAAGAAAAGTTTCCTACCTCCATTCATTTTAGGGGAAACAAAACATCCAGTCTAAACCAATGGATTCACGAAGACCGAGACAGCAAGATAAGAGAAACAAAAAAATAATGTTACTTCCTGCGTTTTTTGTGTGTTATGGATTCCTGCGTTCCAAATACCCCTTCTAGTTATTTCCCGCGTTTTTCCTTCCCTCTGTTTTACCACTACACATTCACCTCATTGCTACATTTTTTCTATTCCTGTATTTTTTTATTCCTACGTTCCAAACATGTCCGGGTGACCAGGTGCATCTTCACGGGTGCATCTGCATGCATCTATATGCGCTCCAGATGGAAAGGCCACGTACAAACACACTATCGAGGCGCTCGCTAGCTACTATTGTGGCAAAAGGATACTGTATGTATATTGGATCGGCAGTGTAACGTTATAAGCCAAGCCAACAGTGTGAGGGTTTAAGTTGACCAAAGGTCCAGAGCCAAACTTGACTGACCCCGCAAGCCGCCCCTGATCCCCTATGGAGATGGAGGAGCCGCCGCCGCCAACGCTGCGCGCTCCGCCGGCGCTGCCGGACGAGCTCGTGGAAGAGGTCCTCCTCCGCTCCCCGCCGGACGACCCGGCGCACCTCGTCCGCGCCGCGCTCGTCTGCAAGCGCTGGTCCCGCCTCGTCTCGGACCTCGCCTTCCGCCCCCGCTTTCGCGACTTTCACCTCCAGCGCCGGGGTGCCCCGATGCTGGGCTTCCTCCGCAACATGTTCGCCGCCAATGAACCCATCTCCGCCCGCTTCGTCCGCACCTCCGCGTCCTGCCCGCCCCTCGACACCCAGCGGGGCTGGATCGCGCTCGACGCGCGCGGCGGCCGCGTCCTCCTCCACCGCGCCGCCGACGACGAGCGCGCCTGCCTCGTCCTCTCCGCCCGCGGCGGCGCGCCTTCTTGGGGGATTTGCCTCGCCATCTGGGACCCGCTCTCTGCCGCCGCTGGCAGCCACCTGGAGCTGCCCGTCCCCGTCCTGCCACGTACAAACACACTATCGAGGCGCTCGCTAGTCCCCGTCCTCTGTTTTACCACAATTACTACTTCTATGTACAAAGGCCGCGTGCATCTGCATGCGCTCCAGATGGAAAGGCCACGTACAAACACACTATCGAGGCGCTCGCTAGCTACTATTGTGTCGGCAAAAGGATACTGTATGTATATTGGATCGGCAGTGTAACACTAATTATTGTATGTACTGTATTGAATTATATTGGCAGCAGGTATCAGATGGTCCGGGAAAATCGAACGATCATCCGGTTTTAAAGAGATAAACCCAAGTTACATAATGGATTTCATTATATATATTGTATACATTTTGTCCATCGAGAAGATTGAAATATATATGTAGATAGATATGCTTAATCTAAAAGCTTAGATATACGTAAGTTATGACCTTCGGAAGGTCCGTTTTTTTTGGATAAATTCGAAATATATATTCGTCCTTGTGTTCTCTTTGTAACGTAGTTGCATTTTGGGTTCAAACTTTATCCCAGAATACAGTTATGCTTGAGTCCCTAAGCCAAGTTGAATACCCCTCCACGGATCAACAAATGGGTGGTAACATGCACAATTTCATTTAGGGCTTGTTTGTATGTTGATGTATTGACCTCACACTACTAGAGAAACGGGTTTTAGTCCCGGTTGGGAAGGCCCTTTAGTCCCAGTTTTCCCAACCGGGACTAAATTCCCGGGACTAAAGGTGGGGTCTAGGAACCGGGACTAAAGGTCACCTGCGGAAGAAAAAAATAAAGGAAATCCTCAAGGCCTCGCTCGCTCTACGGGAGATTCGAACCCAACACCTCTCTCCTCGCGCGTAGGTACATTAACAACTCAACTGCACACCAGTTGTGACAGAGTCATGTGCGCTCTCGTTTTGAATAGACTCGTGGGAGACCTTTAGTCCCGGGTAAAAGACCTTTAGTCCCGGTCCCGGTTAAAGACACCAACCGGGACTAAAAGGTCACCCTTTAGTCCCGGTTGGTGTTACCAACCGGGACTAAAAGTTGGTGAACTTTTACTCCGGGTTGGTGACACCAACCGGGACTAAAGATGACTTTTAGTCCCAGTTGGTATTACGAACCGGGACTAAAAGTCCTTTAGTCCCGAACGCAAAAAATATCGAGACTAAATGCTAAAATCGAAGTGGGTGAAAGGTCTGTTTTCTAGTAGTGTCAATTCATGCGGGTTGGAGTGATTTGGAGTGGAATGTAGTTTAAATTTCACACCAAACCACTCCAACACACATGGATTGAGGTGCATATACATCCAAACAAGGCCAGTCCAGAGACACAGAAGGGCAAGCATCATTAGCATACATACACACATCATGCAGGACAACACATGTGTTTAAGGTCTTGTTGGGACTTGTACCACGTCTTTAGTTTTTTTTACCTCCTTTTGCCTTAATTTTCTTTCAAGCCTCGACAAATCTTCGTCCTTTGATCTGATCACCACGACCAAATAAAGATGATGCCATAGACTTGCTACCTGACCTAGGAAAACCAAACAACATTCACACCCTAAAAGAATCCCTCCCTGCCAGTGCCAAGAGTGTTGAGGGTATTTTTGCTAGTTTAGTTTGTTTGGAAACTACCTGTTTATTCGCATAAGCACGATATATATCTTTTCGCTGGTTTGCTCTCGTTCATTGTCACGTAAGCACGACAGTTAGATTTTTTTATTGTTTTGCTAGTAAACCTAGTCATCTTTTGCCACGTACTCCCTCCGTTCTAAATTATAAGACTTACTCCGTCCGTTCCAAATTCCAAACTATAGATGCAGTCTTAGTAACTTGGAATGGAGGTAATAGTAAATAGTTACCTCTGTCCAAGGAAACCTGAGAGTATCTGAGGGTTTGGTTTTCGCGGAAAGGTTCAGCACTGCTAGATTGCTATGGGTGCACGCATGCATGTTTAATGTTTCTGTGTTTGGTGCCGCTTCATGTCAACAGCACCATAAACCAATGTACTCGAGCGATCTGGTTATTATTGAGGTGAAAAATTAAAGCAGCACCCTGCACCGCAGAAAACCTCAGTTTGAAATAAAGCAAACGTACGCCACGACTCGATCGCAAGTCACAATACACCGTCGTCGGCCTCGATAAACCTTCGTCCCTCCGAGGCCTTATTAATTTGCTTAAGCACACGGGGAGTCATCTGTCAGGGCCCCCGCCCCCCGGCCGGCTACGGCTTGTGTGGCCGGCACGAATGGAAGCGAAAGTATCCCGGCGATGGTTTCATGCATGATTACGCCAGACCGTCCCGGCCCAGTACCAGTGTACCACGTAGATAGAGTAATCATAAGCTAGCACGTACAGGCACCACGTGCATGTGCATGCAGATCCGGCCCGGGGAATTGCCCACGTGACGCCGCCATCCATGTACGTTAACGTCGATGGGTCGCGCCCAGATTAATTACGTAGAGCATGCGATGCGATCTCACGTACGCGCGCTTCATGTACGTTGTGCCTTCCTTCAATTAGACTGCTTCTTCAGTTTCTCCACGATCGCGACCAAAAATGGAACGCGAAAAACGCGCCAAGAAGGCTTCTGAAACTCATCAAGGCCCAGGATCCTTCAACAGCCCACAAACGGCCCAGCCCAAAAGAGAGCCCTTTTCCTTTGACGAGCCCATGTAATCCAACCACAACTGCCCACCGAGGCGCCGACACCGCACGTCCAAAGCGCTTGGGAGTCGGAGCCGTGGCCCAATACTCCACTGACCAAGTGACCAGTGCCAGTCCACTACCTACTCCGATCTCGAGGCCGCCACGCCACCCCACCGTCCTCTCCCCTGGCGTCGTGCCCCCTCGTCCCAACTCCCAACTGCCGAGGGGGAAGGGGCAATCCTGTGTGCGCGCGCGTGTGCGGAAGTGAACCCCGGTTGATTAGTACGGTAGGTGGCTGGGAGATCGAGGTCGCCCTTGCCCCACACGCCACTAAACGCCGCGCCGACGGGCTCATCAGGCGATTTGGACGGGCCACTCTGCGCCTGTGCGCTGGGTGGAGTGCGGGTGCTGGTGCTGGTGCGGGAAGCCTCGCCAAACCAAGCGGCGCCGACTGCCGAGCTGGGTGGGGGCGCGAGGAGTCGACGGGAAGAGAAGGGTAAGGCTGCTTCCTCGCTCGCCTTGCCCTGAATTGCTGTGATTTTTGCCCGAGCTCGCCCGCCTCGTGCAGGAAGTGCACGTCCTCGGCGCCGCCGAGGTACTGGCCGTCGACGAACACGCGCGGGAGCGCGGCGCCTGCGAAGCCGGGCCCGAGGAGCTCCGCGAGCTTGGCCTTGAAGACGGCGTGCATGAAGACGTCGCGCTCGTCTAGGCGCACGCCGTAGCTGCGCAGGATGCTGCGCACGGGCAGTAGTCCACGAACGTCTTGCGCACGCCGCGGAGGCTCGTGAGGTACACCACCGCCTTCCGCTCGCCTCCCGGCGGCCACAGGGGCGACACCTTGGCGTCGCTGCCCTTGCTTCGTCTCCGTTCGATCTTCTCTTGGAACGCGAGGATGCGGGCATGGACAAGGCCGGAAAGCTCCGGCATGTCGCCGGTGGCCGGCGACATTGGCATGTCACATGCGTCCGCGTCCTTCCTGTCCTTCCGCTCCTGCTCCCTGGGTGTCTCGTCTTTGGCGGACGAGACAACCGCAGGCTCCAACGACGGCGGCGTGCCCTCTAGAGCCTCCCGGAATCCGGACAGTACCTCCGGGTCGAAGTCTAAGGCGACGGGCATGTCCATGTCGGGCTGCATCCACTGCGTCAGCGGCACAGATCTTGGCTCCGAGGTGCCTGGCCGTGCACAGTAGGACATCCTAAGTGGCGTTGACGTGGCCGGTACCTCGGAGCCACAGATCTTGACTCCGAACTCAGTGCCAAGATCTGTGGCTCCGACCTCGGAGCCGTGGATCTCGGCTCCATGGCTCCAGGCTCGGAACCATGGATCCTGACGAGCATGGATTCAAAAGCAGTCAAAAGGCACACGCACACGCACACCATGACACCAGTCCACTCCTGCTGGTAGCTAGCTAGATATATAGTAGATGCATGGACGTATTGGCAGGCCACTTCGTTCCGCACATAGACACGGAATATACCGGCATGCTTGCGCAAGCCGAGCTAGACAGCTATTCAAAAATGGAGCAGCTATTTGGAAGCCATCAATCATATGCCACATAGCTAATCACACAACATACATTAACAAGCTATAGCTACGTAGCCTACTATAGCTAGCACAAATAATGAAGATCAAGACGCAAGGTTGATTGTGCGAATATGCGGTAATCACGCATTTTGGATCGTATATATGTGCGCTGATGCGCCAGGGGCGATCGCTGTGCGTCTTGCAGGTTGTTGTAAGTTAGCGGCACTACTAGCCAGCACCCAGCAGTGTGCGGTGTCAGTGTCACAAAGTGTGTGCGCGCTCCTTTGATTCCTACACCCGGCCTTGTCGCTTCGCGCACTACCGTCCCCAAGGCCAGTGAGCGGACGGTGGCGCGCGACAAATAAAGTTACTAGATGGATGGGAACAAACAAATCGGTGATCATCAGGCGCACGGCCGATCCAACCACGGCCATCTCGCCTCGATCTGCGGTGGGATAGATGGCCGAGGTGGGTCCAGCGATTTGTTTGCCATCCATCTCGTAACTTTATTTGTCGCGCGCCACCGTCCGGCCATCGGTTTTGCGGCGGTGCGCGAAGCGACAAGGCCGCTGTAGGAATCGAAGGAGCGCACACACACTTTGTGACACTGACACCGCACACTGCTGGGTGCTGGACAGTAGTACCGCTAACTTACAACAACCTGCAAGACGCACAGCGATAGCCCCTGGCTCATCAGCGCACATATATACGATCCAAAATGCGTACTCGCACAATCGGCCTTGTGTCTTGATCTTCATTATTTGTGCTAGCTATAGTAGGCTACGTAGCTATAGCTTGTTAATGTATGCTGTGTGATTAGCTATGTGGCATATATATGATTGATGGCTTCCAAATAGCTGCTCCATTTTTTAATAGCTGTCTAGCTCGGCTTGCGCAAGCATGCCGGTATATTCCGTGCCTATGTGCGGAACGAAGTGGCCTGCCAATACGTCCATGCATCTACTATATATCTAGCTAGCTACCAGCAGGAGTGGACTGGTGTCATGGTGTGCGCGTGCGTGTGCCTTTTGACTGGTTTTGAATCCATGCTCGGTGCCAGGATCCATGGCTCCGAGAGCTCGGAGCCGAGCCGAGATCCACGGCTCTGAGGTCGGAGCCACAGATCTTGACGCTGAGCTCGGAGCCAAGATCTGTGGCTCCGAGGTACCGGCCACATCAACGCCCACCTAGGATGCCCTGTTATGCATGGCCAGGCACCTCGGAGCCAAGATATGTGGCACCGAGACGTGTTATCTCGGAGCTATGAGTCCTGGCGCCGACCTGCAGGGTCCAAAAATGAGTTTACGTCTCCCAGGGGGTCAAACGTAAATTTTCTTTAAAAATAGACCAAATTGTAAAAAATTGGGGGGTCTCGGCGCGCGCGCACGTGCGGCACCTCGTGGGGGTCTCGCAGCCCACCAAACCCAACCAGAACAAAACAGCAAAGTTTGCCGTGTATGGTCAAAAAAAAAGTTTGCTGTCTTTACGTTCGACTCTGTGTTTCTCCGGAACATTCAGAAAAACGCCAATGACCAGCGTTTAAACAATCATTGTAAGTTCTTTTGAAGGAATCACCTATTCATCTTCCACTAGGCAAAGATATTATTATTCAATCAAACACACAAAGATGAAAATACTCATGTACATGGTCACATGGACGCACACTCCTCGCTAGGAGCATTGGCACACATATCATATTTCTTCTATGAGCACTTTAGAAAAACTGGACGGACACATTTTAAAATTGATAATGTCACCACAGACGGTCTTTTTGTCGTGGCATATCACCTCATAAATACCCATGTCTTGTTGAGAACTTGAACCTAGATTGGCAAGTTTTGTCACATGGCCCTAACCAACCAGACTAAGCTCAGCTCGATTCGCCTCTAGGCGGCATTCTAGTCCTCCTTCCTCCAACATTCGACGTTCAAATACAATAGAATGCTAGATCCGATTTTGCAATCGTATAGTTTGATTTTCCTCAAACACTAGAACCGTTCTTAGAAAGCACTAGACCCTGGTAGATCTCGACTATTTTGGCCTCATTATCTTTAATCTCTCAACCTCTAGCCTACCCCCTCAATTCACCCCTTCTCCAAGTTAACCACCATGGTTTAAAGAATATTTATGGGAATTGTTATTTAGCGGCAATATATTTCTTCCCAAAATTGTGCCAAAATTTTAAATGTTACACATGTAATCTACGACTGAGATCTTCTTCTCCTCCCAACCTCTTCTTCTTCCCACGATCGTGACCCTAACCCTGCAAGAGGGACGACGAAGGCAGTAGGTGCGCGATACAGTGAAAATGCGGCGAGGGTGCTAGATGATGAGGATGCAACAGACACGTGGAACGACGAGGGTGGACACTGAGACGACAGGTGCGTAGGATGACGAGGCATTGGTAGACGGTTAAGATGCGACTGGTAGGACGACGAGGCAAGATATCAAGGAGATGTCATGTGGGACGACGATGAGGCGGCGAGGCAAGAAGGTGAGATGACGACGCGGGACGGCGAGGCGTTGGCGGCCGAAGGAACGTTGGCGGGGCTAGAGGCAGAGGAGGCAGGGGTGCCATTGAAGCTATAGGCAGAGGATGCGGCTGCTAGAAGAAGGTTATGGTCAGTAGGAGAAGATAAGATTGGGAGAGGGGGTGATCCAGAGACCATGTATTTTCCACTAAACAGTTAAAAATTTTATATGTTTTCTAAAATAAATTTGTTGATAGATTAAAAGCAATCCCTTTATCAAGTTGTCATGATCATGAATCCTTTGAGTGCGGATCCAGATCCTTCATCGTTTATTGGTGTGAAATGTTGCAAGCACTAGATCATAATTTGTGCTTAGCCTATGTTAAAAGGAAACATCACCGGTATATGTTAGTTGTTTTTAGATAAATCGTTATACAATTTGTCAATTATATCGGGCTCCCTCTCACCTTTGGAAAAAAAACTTGTCATAATTAACGTGCACGGTTTTGATCGATGTCCATCTTTAACTAATTTCTTTTACATATACTTTTAAACCCTTCAAAGTTCATATATTTTGCAAGTATTATAAATACGAAACTACTTATATAACTTACACATCTGTAAACTTAGATTAGATGTCGACACATGAAACCGCCCATACAAAATAGTACTCCTATGACTAATAATGCACTTGTGTAATAGTGGGAAGAAATTCAGTCCGAAAGAGAGAAAGGAAAAGGGCAAAGAAAGGATTATACAATTCGGCATGTCTGCACAAACTGCAAAATTTGACTCGCACTTAACTCAGCGGTCAGAAACTCGTGCAATCTCGATCCGATGATCTCTCTCGATCCGTGTATGCATGCCAACTGCCCAGGTTAAGTTCTGGTAGTGGTAGGAGTAGTGTTTGCGTTATGGGAGCCTTTGACTGAGAATGGACAACCGAAGCAGGCGGGCGAGGGCTAAGAGCCGGTCAAAACTCAAAAACCATCCATCTCTCGTTGTCATTGGTTATTAATTATTGGTAGGAGTACGTACGACGACACACATGGTCGGTGCGCTCGCCAGGCTGCCGCGTGGCCGGCACACGCTCGGCGCGCGCCCCGAGGTCCCATGTGAGCGAGTTCGTTGCTAGCGTCTCGTGCCATGCATCATGTGCATGCACATGATGCACCCACATGCACATGATACGCTCATGATTGAGTTTCGTCGTTTGCTCGGGATAGTCGTCGGAGGGGCGTGACGGATCGGACGCCCGGCCTCGTGCTGTCGCAGAACAAATCATAGCGTCATGATTGGCCTTCTCCGACTCCACCAATCAGTCGCCTAAGAGAATCCAGGAAGCATGTATCTTCATGTACTCCTGCTACTCATTAGCCAATTATTGTCGCGTCTTCTTTTACGGCTGCCTATATAGTACTCCCTCCATCTCAAATTGTAAGTCATTCCAAGAATTTTGGAGAGTCAAACTTTTTCAAGTTTGACTAAAATTATAGAGAGAAACACAAAGATTGATGACATCAAATAGGTATAATATGAAAATATAACTAATGAAGAATCTAATGATACTTACTTGGTATGATAAATATTATTATTTTGTTATATAAATTTGGTCAAACTTGAAAAACTTTGACTCTCCAAGATTCTTGGAATGACTTACAATTTGGGATGGAGGGAGTATATCTGAGTATGGACAGCTCCAACAATTAACTCATAAGCTAGCTATAAGTATTTTTTTCATATTTTAACATAAGAAAGAGAAGAAAAGCTAGCTCTCGATCCAGAGCTAAGCTCTTACACATATTTTAAGGTTATGTTTAAGTGTCATATAAGGCTATCCTTGATAAAAGTTAGAGCTAAAAGTTAGTATTACTAGAAAAGTTATGTTAGAGCTGGTAATCATTGCCGATGCCCTAATACTATTAGCTAGCTATACTCTCCGCTCTAGTCACCGATCATTTCGTCGTACTCAACGACTCGACCGTAAATAATGTCCAAGAAAAATATCTTCCCATGGCAAACATCATCTTTCACTGCGAATCTCCGAAGAGAGCGGCGCGTGCACGCAGGTACCCGTCATCAGCAGGGGCATGGATCCATGGTGGACTGTTCGGTCGTGGAAGCATG